GTAGGGGGGGGGGGGTGTCCTTTCAGACCTTCCCTTCTATTATCTTTCAGGTAATGCACACTTAGCATAATAAGGCCAAATGGCCATAGAAAATACGGTAATCATTTTGCTTTGTTTTGTTTTTTACATAAAAGAGATGAAATGCCAGCAGGTGTCAGTAGAGCCTGAGAATTTAGTTGGAAACTTGTGCCAGAAGTAAACTAGATGCAAATCTACTTCTTTGAATGTTCCCAGTTTAACAGAAGAATTAAAAAAGTGACTTAGATACACTGGCTCCACGGTGACACACTCATAATAAGGCTCATACGAACCCTCTGGTTCTGCATCCTGAGTGCGCACACGCAGCCTGGATCCTGGGGACCAGCCCACAGGAACGACTCAGGTCAGGTGTCCCAACCGGCAGGTCCACACACTTGTAATTGTTACTGGCCCCTCATTTTAATCTGTTCCAATTTTGTTTAAATTAACTTAACGCTTACTTCAGCCCTTCTAAGGAGATGAACAAAAAGGTCCTTCAAAGGACTCGTGAGGGCTTGTGCTGGGTCACTTGGGTGTAAATGAGGAAGAGCAACTGGGATAATTCTCTCCTGGGGACTCTGGTCTCTCCTCTTGGGCTCCTTAAACTTACTTTCATCATTTTCCAGGCAAACGCCTGTGCCTCAGACTTACCCATGTCCTCTGCCCTCAGAACAGCAGGACTACCCTAGACAAAAATAATCCCCTTCCTATTAAAAAAATGTATATAGAGAGATATAACAAAACTAAACTGAAAAACATGAATTTACACAGAGCATCTATCTCACTTTTTTCCTTAAAAACATTTTTTTAAAGTTTTTTTAAGGTTATAAAAGCAATATTTAAATCTCTTTATAGAAAAATGTAAAGCAAAAAAGCATAAGCAAAAAGCAAACATCATACCAAATCCCACTGCAGCAAGTCCTCACTTAACACCTTGCTGACCGGACATGAGATAAACGAGCTATGTAATTTTAAACACCTTGCTGACCCGTGACGATGGAAAACAGCCAGCCGCATGGGTGAGTTCTGGCTCGAAATAGCCGGTTCTGTGACTTTAAGTGAAATGATGCCCAGTGAAGCCAGTTTTACCACTGGCTAATTGATATAAACAAGAGTTACGTCCATATGGCATCTCATCAACATTATAACACGACAATATTGAACGAAATGTCCTGTTATTCAAGGCCCTGCTGTACTGATATTAAGAGATACTCCACTGGCAACATTTTGCTATTTGTCCTTCTAGTTTTTTTCTATGTACAGAGATTTGTCCTTTTAAAATAACTATTTTTATCATTATGATACAGTCAGCAACACTTCAACTCTATCTTATCTCTAGATTTTGTTCCAGAAGCATTCTTTTCAGTCTTTAGTTTAAAAAGCATATTGTCAAAGCAAAAATAACACAGACCCCGTGACTCTCTCCAAGTCTGCTAGGTCATTTTCTCTAGAGGGAAAACTCAGTAGCACCCTTCCTGACCTTTTAGTGTCCAGCTCTTTGTTTTCAGTGTCAGAGTCTTAACTAAGTGCTCAAAAGTTAACTAGAGACTTGCTGCTTAAGGGATCCACAGCATCAGAATCACCTGGGAATTATTAAAATGCCAATTATCAGGCTCCACCTATTAAATCTGTCTCTAGAGCCTGAAACAGAAATCTGTGTTTAAATGAACTTTCCAAGTGATTCTTTTGCAGACTTGCTAAGAGCACAGTTCTCAATTCATGTCACTCAAAGGGGTGGCTCCTAGATCAATGGCATCAATATCACCTAGTAGCAGTTGAAATGCAGAATCTCAGGTCTCAACCCAGACCCTCTGGATCAGAATGTGCATTTAATAAGGTCACCGGTGACTCATGTGCACATTCCGTTTGAGAAGCATTGGTCTAGGAGAGGAAGTCCCTCCAACTCGG